GGTCATGATGTCCATTGCCGACAGCGATTCTATCATGTTGCTCATAAGCTTCTTCGAGACAGTCGCAGTAGCTGCAGGGTTTTTTGAATCAACAGCCAGACCTCACGAGTTGCTAGAAAGTGGAGACCCCAAATGTGACTACGACGGGGTTACCGTTAGAGAGGCCAGATCCTCCCAGGAGCCTGGGAGAAGCCGTCCTCAACAAAGACCCAAGGCAACATTCATTCCTATGTAAAACCACATACTATTTGGGGGGGGTTCCTTATTCTCATTATAGTATAATGGGCCCAAAACTGCTCTTTCCAAGAGCTCCGGGGCCCTGGCTCTTGGAGCATCGGTGCAAAAATCTTCAAAGAGGCGGCAGCGCAGCTATGGGCGCAGCGCAGAGCAGAGCCCGTCTTGGGCGCCTTTCGGCTCGATCTACGCCGCCCTGCTTTCAGAACATCAAGCTCAGCCTGAAGCTCGTCTGTTTATGTCTTATACATGTCTTGAACTTTATCTGTATATCTGTATATTATATATATATATATATATATTCATTCGGTATAAATATTACTCTACAAACGCCTTCTTTCGTGGGCAATTTCCTGTCCAGACACTGGTGTCATTACGTCTGTCTGCCTTGTCATAAGCCCTGTTTATGCACTGTGCCACAAGCCGCCCGGCAACGGTAAAGGCTTTCGTGCAAGAGCCGGTGCAAGCCGTGGCCGATTTCGCAAGAGGCATCTTGTCTTGGAACAGCGTCACTTTTGAGTGGTCTCTGCAACCTTCGGGATTCTGGGGTGAGACTCGGTGAGACATGACATGGTGAGATTCGCAGCAAAGGGCAACTGCGCTCAGGCAACGAAATTGGCCGTCTTCATCCGAAAGGATCTGGCATTAGCAGCGCACTAAAACTGCCCTGTCGTCGTCTCGAAAAACCCTAGGCCCTAGGCCCCAGACTTCTGCAGCTTGGGCATGGAGGGGTTGTAGTAGGCCGGGCCTGGGGCCGAGGAGACCTGCAGAGGCCATTTTTTCACTTTACAGTCGCTATAGAGTTCTCTAAACTAAAAGGGTACCCTTTTAGGGTCCCTTTTTACTACATATTGGGGATCCAGAAAAGGGGACCCTAATTTGGAGAACTACCCACATGCAGGCAGCGGTCACAAAAGGCTTTCAGTGCTGTGTATAAGTGCAGCATAAGGGGCCTTTGGAGGGGTTTGTCGCTGCGTGGCCGCATGGAAGGAACTAAATTGGCGATTCGTTTTTTTCTGACAAGCTTAGACTGAGGCTCAAGGCCTTCTATAGGAGCTACAGAGCTTCACCCCTGTGTGGGCCATTCCAGGTGCTGTAAGCAGATGCATGTGCAACATAAGTAGTCCAGTGTAGAGTCTACAAAACCCAAGCGGTTTAGGGTATTAGCTGACGCCCGACTTCAAGCTACAAGACCTGAAATGCTGCATGTTTTTCATACCTGACTTGGAATCAAACCTAAAGAGAACTTGTTTCCAACCCAGCAGCTTCTTCGTTTTGCCTCATCTTCACAAGCGCGAAGTCCAGTCCAGGGCCCCTTTCTGTTTTTATTTTGTGGCGGGCAGCCCTCTTGCCTGAAGAATGGAGCAGGTATGGGTTGGACGAAACCATATGGCTGGGCCCAAGCCTCCATTGCAACAGGTCCTGTGCATTCAGGCGTCCCTTGTTTCCGCAAACCCTAAACCCTAAACAAATCCCTAAACCCTATAAACGTCAAACCCTAAATACAGCGAAACCCTCACTCTCAAAGTGGGGAAGGGACAACCTCTACTCACACAGCTCTCACAAGATCTCAAAGGCAAACTGCAGCAGGGCCGTCATGCCGCACGTCTCCCCAATGGTCTCCACAAGGATCTCTTCCAGCACAGACAGGACTTCGTCCTTCAAGTGCTCTTTGAGCTCACCTTTCAGGTCCTCCACAAGGTCATCCATCAAGTCAGACTTGTTCGTCTTCTTTGGGGTTTGTGCATTGTGCACGATGTTGTCCATCAGCTTCCGATGTCCCTTGCAGTGCACAAAGGTGAACGCCAGCAAATACTTGATCGGGTGGTCTCCCGGGCTAGCTTGGAGCTTGACACCTTTCGGCACTTGCTTCGCCAAACTGTCCATGACTTTCTGGGGTTTCTTGTCATAGGCAGCAACAACATACTTACAATAGGTTGTGAAGCTGATGAGGTAAAGTCCTGCGACCCGCTCTGACTGCTCACTGCTTTCGCTCAGCCGGACCATTTTCACCTTCATGGAATTCCATTCTGAAGGGTCCTCCGCAAGTGCTTTGTCGAGAACCCCTAGGAGTTGGCGGTATTGATCGGCAGATCCAGCCTCAAGCTCCTGTTGGATCCTCACGGCCTCCTTGTTGCGCTTGCCTTCTGCCATGGCCGCGCTGACCAGCTTCTTTGCTCCAAACGCTACCAGCCATGTGAGAGGATCTGCCATTTGCGGAAGACACGCCCGTGGGGATCAGGGAAGGAGAGCGAAGTACTGCAGTTTGAACAAAGGAGAACTGCCACATGCGAGCATCACAACCTTTGGCGGGTCGGCGGCATTTACACGATTAGGTATCGATGCATCCACGCGGGATTGTGTTCCAAGCATTTTATCCGGACCTTGCATTGGCATGAGATCTCAACTGGCTTCGGCCACATCATGAAGACGTAAAGAGACTTAGGGGGTTTTGCCCCCCTGCAATCTTGGATCCCGCACCCCCGGGACTCGCTCCCTTGCGTTCGTTTCCGCATCTGGAATTCTGCTTGCACACGAGCAAGACAAGCCACATGAAGCAGAAAGCATATTATTCTTTCTGGTGGCTTCAGGATCCGGGTTTTTGGTCAAGACCCGTTTCCGGAATCTTGAACTTGGATCTTGGACTCTGCCCGAAGCAATTTCATGGCAAGGGGGATCATTGGGATCTATAAATATGTCTTTTGAATTTGTCAGTGTCTTATTCCACTGTCTTTCCACTGCTGTAGAAAGTAATTGCGCTCCAGGAGTTTGTAGTAATGTACATAAACTGTCATAAACTGATTGACTCTGTTTTCATCCGAAGGGCATGTCCGACGCGGTAAAGCTGCAAGATCGCTGGGCTGGGAAAAAGTCAGAGCCTCGATCTTCCCACGGTCGGAGGTCGACTGAAAGGCGGATCGCAGAGTGCGGGCCATCGGCGACGCGACCTGCACTCACTCACGCCAGCGGCCCTTGTCTGCAAGGCCACCAAACGGAGGGTGTGCCCGTGCGCCTTGCGCGGCTCATACTTGCCAGGGCCCGGGAAGGAGGACTCCTCCGAAAGACATCTCAGAGGGTCAAAACAGCTTCTACCAGATTCTACCACAAGAGAGAGGCGCGCCGCTCGAAGGGGGGGCAGTGGGCCTGTGCTCCAAGGTCCATCCGCTTGGAGCCCTGGAAGGCACTGCCGGCCGTCGCCTTGGACTTCGAGCCTTTTTTCCCGGCTTCGGCAGGCAGAGACGCCGAGCTTCGCACTGCGCTCGAGCCACGGGCCTTCGTGATGTCCTCGAAAAAAGGCAGCGACTTCACAAGCAGGAAAGCAGCCAAGCGGCGTTTTGAGAGCGGGTCTCCCTCCGGGCTCCTGGTACTCCCCAGGGCCCGGCAGGGCCACTGCCAGGGCTTGGCTTCCGAGGCACTGCCGGCTCACCTGCCCAGACAGAGGGCAAAAGACAGACTCCTCAAAAAAAGAGAGAGGACAGCAACAAAAAGGACTCAACTCTCAAGAAACCCGGATTGAAGCGGAGCCGGAGCCCCCCGCTAGCACCTCGTTGGCAAAGTTGCCCAGGACGCCTGGAGCCGCGGCTTCTCTGTGAATTCCGGCACCACAGCGCGCGCCCGCGTGGCCTCTGGCTTTGGCCGAGGCCGCCGGGAGGTCTCGGTGCACCCTCGTGATGTGCGGAGCCGAGCGCTCCTGGCGCAGTGTCCGAGAAATGAGGAACCCCCCGGCACTGCAACTCTCCGGGCATCGCAAAGGGCGCTCCTTGAAGGTGGGCATCCGCATGTCCAGGCTCTGCAGGTGCTCGGGGATGTAGCCCACTGGCCTCCCAGAGGGCCGGAGGCCGTGAGGCGCCGGAGATCTGAGAGCTAAGCCGCGAAGCCTCACCAGGCCGTCGTGGTAGTCGCCGGGGCCTGGCGCGGCCTCGTCGCTTGGGTTCTCCAAGCGGAGGCTGGTGGACCGGAAGGCCGCGCGGGCGCCCTGACGAGCATCTTTTCCCATGCTCAGACGTTCCCCCCATGCTTGTCATTTGGAGCTTTCGGAGTGAAACAGTTCTGCGAGCCTCGCTCTGGTTGGCCAGGTGTCTGGGTTCGTACTGCCTGGCCCCGAAAGAGCGCCAGCGGAGCGGAGCGCGGATCGCGGGCGCAGACGAAGGAATCGCATGCGGCAGCGGCCGGGGAAATCGCAGCCGTGCAGCCAAGGAACCCTGGGCCCGGAAGCTCTGAGAGGCTCTGGGCCTCCGCGAGCGAGCAAGAAAATTTGTATTATATATGATATGATTTACTATGACTATGAACTCGTTTCTCTGAACTCTCTCTTGTCTTCTCTCAGACTTCTGCGTTTTTAAGAAAGTCCCCGGCTCGAGAAGTCTTGGAGGAGGCGAAGGATGCGGCGGAGGGCGCCCTGACCGCCTTCTGCAGGCTGGGAGCACCGTAGGCGCCTGCTGCAGCGGAGATACTTCAACTCCTACTTGTAGCACCATATATCTATAGTCTCCATTGTAATTCCTTTTTTTGTAGCTTTTTATATTATAAGGATCCTAAAAGGTAACCCCAAAGAGGAACTACCGTGGAGACTAGATCTAGGACCCTCCTCTTCCCTCCCCTCTTGCGCCTGGGCCAGGGCAGCCCAATCCAGGAAGCAAGATCCTGCAGCACGCATTTGCCCGGTGAAAAAAAAATCCCTCAACCCCATATTACCCCATATAAGCCCTAAACCCTACAGGAACCCCATATAAACCCTATATACCCTATTAAAACCCTATGTAAAGCCTATATACGCCCTATCTACAAACCCTAAGCCCAAAAAAAGCGCGACTCTACGAAAGTCTCGGCCCCCAGGCCGGACGTTGAAGCGCCGCGCTTTCGAGGCGAAGCCGCCCGTGCCCCCTGGCTCTTCAAAAAGCGGGGCCTTTCATTAGTTAGTGATGACCATTTCCATTTTCTAACCATGCACCCCCCCCTAGCACCCCAAACCATAACAACCTATACCTCACCCCTAAACCCATCCAAGACCCATAGGTAGAACCCTAGGAATAACTCA